GAGGGCAGATGCCTCAGGAAAGCGATTCGCGAAACCTAAGGGACTAGAGGTAGCTAGGGAACAGGCAGTCTGGGCCGGGACCACGATAGTATAAAAGGGAGATGGTGATGAAAATGGGGTGAGCGAGGGAATAGTTGGTGCTGGTTGTCGAATAGTTGGCAATAATGGCCGTGGGGATGGTATAAGTGCAGAAAGAAAAACGCTAAAGTTAGAATAGTTTGCAGGCGAAGCTGGTCCTCCGTTTGCTTGGAGTTAGGCACTAGCGGGTTGTTGGCAGGCATCGACGGTACGAGGGTTGACTGTGTGAGTGTGTAGTTAGTCGACGTCCCGATGAAACGGGCACGTACCCGTACGCATGAAAAAGAACCGAGAACAGCTTGCGGCGGTAGCAGGGGCAGACGACGAAGTTCGAATAGAAAGACTAACGTCGCAGGAAATATAGCACTTTGGGTTGAAGGGACTGTTTTCGTAGTCGAGATAGGGGGTATGAAAGCATAAGAGTGGTCGGGTGGGGGCAAACAAAGAAATACCGAGGGCGAAAGCTTAGTGTAATTGGAAACAACAGGCAAAAGAGAAAACATGAGAGAATTTCGCATGGCGCCGCAGATGTCCTACCTCGAACAACGCTATTTGTTAATTAGTGTTTTCATCGATCCTTAGCTTTGATAGTTGTTTAAAATGTACTGGGTTTGAGGGCATACTCAGGCCATATGTGTAGTCTGTATATAGTACAGAATTTAAAGCTAATGATTTGGTGGGATCGGTTATTTTTGCTAGTGACCCCTGGAATGGGCTAACACACTGCAGCAGTTACGAAAAGCAAAAGTCTTCTGAAGAGTACTCAACATTCAGACGTTGCAATCTCCGTGGGGTTACTACTTCGTTACGTCTGTTCAAATCTTAGCTTACTTTATTTTTATGCATTCATGGATGGTGCTTGAAGTCAGTCAGCCCATTGATTGGTTTCTGTACAAAGCGAGAATGATGAAAAATTCCGGTTAAATTTATATGTTTTCCTTATTTAGATTAGTATACTAGCTAATACTAATTAAATTGAATTCATTTGCATAGGATTAGTTTGAAGTTCAGCTAGTCCTAGTTACATATTGCAGTCCGCCGCAATGCGAAATGATCGCGACCTTTGAACGTGAAGTACATGCGAACATTGCAATCATCTAGCCTCAGATTATAGTGCTTTTTCATCAATTGATATATTATAGCAGTATAGCACTGTGCATCATTTACAGTAGAAAGGGCTGGCCTTCTAGGTCCTGACAGAGCAATTTACGATCCCCGACGTATATCTCGGCGTTTATGGTAGATATTATCGGCACAGAGTGTCTATTCTTAGCAAAAGGCTTACTACTAACCTCAGTCGTATCTGTAAAATGGTTGTGCTGTTACTATAAAGCAGACTGGCAATTTATGGCGCTCCTTTCCAGTGTCGAAGTCATACATAGAGAAACCACCTTTATGGATAATTTTATTAAAAGAACATAGCTTTGGCTAGCTGCGCGCATATGCGTCCTAATAAACCCGGCTTGCCTCTGATACACAGACCCCTCCTTCTGGATCGGTAAAACATGTATCTTTTAGGACATAAATTAGCGCAATACCCTGTAGTAGCTATTCGCCAAAAAGTGCCGACTATCGAGACATTTTCACTCAATTGCAAATATTTATATTAATATATGTGTGAATAAGGCATGATACTGTTAATATCGTGTTTTTTTTTTCATCAACAATAAGCGCGTTTATGACTGCAGATTTCAGGACTACTTTGGTAAACAATGCCAATAAGAAAAATCATAAATCGGCGTATCCGATGTTAGAGCTTAGTTTTTAGCAATTGCATGGCGTTTTGTCCCTTACCAATGCAACAACGAATAAAGAATTCGTTTTATCCGTTATCTCTTAAGCGACCTAATTGATTATGAACTAACTTTGCAATGGATGGATCATCGTTCACATCCTTTATTCCTAGGCGCATTTCTCCTTCCAGGTCAAAGAAGAATCCTTCTCTTATTTATCGAACAACGAATTAACGCCTGCCTATTTGTCCTAACGCAGAAAGCGTTTAATCGTATACTACTAATACCTAGGTCCATTTCAGTTAGCGAGCTCTGCCCTTCGCGGCCATATTTGTAGTGCAATCGGCCACGTGCTTTTTGTGGGCGGGGTTCGCGAGCACCGCAATGGGGCAGCACCTACCTGCTCCCATCACCATCACTGGCCTACGAGAGGACGACCTACTGGCGATCGCCATTGTAAATACGCCACTGTTCAGCTGCTACCCCGGCTGTTGCTTACGCTGTAGAACGACCTTTTCTCTATACTTCGCCTGCTTTAAATACTAAGGCGCAAGTAACCCACTCGATGGAAGCCTTCGACCACCGCCAACACAGTAATCTCTACTGCACTAATACGCAGTGCCATAGCGCGGATTGTAGCGCGCGCGAAACCGTAGGAAACGCCTGCCCTATGCAGGCCTATACTATTTCATATTCTAAGCCTTGCGGGCCTGCTTCCTCTATGTCTGACAGGCCTCTCTCCTGGTTGGCTGTCCTACACGACCGATCTAGGCCTGCGCGCTGGTCTGCCGTTCGACTGGGCGCTATTTTTTATGAACTCTGTCTCGCCCCCGAGAGACACACACCGCAGCTGCCTAGTCACCCAACCATCCGGCCAGTCTGAGAGCTTGGCAAAAACAGCGGCTGCCAAGGCACAGGAGGAGGTCCTACAGCTCACAAGGAGGTGGAGTCTTGTTGCCTGCTGCTGCTGCCGCCGCCGCCGCTGCTGCTGCGACAATGTGTAGTAGATATAGTACTATCGTAGTTTTGGTAGCCGGCAATAACAAAAACCTTCAGGAAGATCGTGCGCCAATTCGTTATTACGTCGAACGTGGAAAGGAGATATTTTCATGCAGTAGCGTCTGGAAGGCTGAAGGGATTGTCTGTACTGCGTAGGCGTTCTCAAGTTTGTTACCACTCTATATAGATCGGTGATTGCAAATAGGTTAGTCCGGGAACAGATGTGAGCGTTCATTGTTGCCAGATATATACGAGTAAATGAAAATCACATTGGACAGTGATCGCTATGCTTCGTTAATGATACTTTTCGTGTACGCTAAAAGAGCGGACTGAAGATGCGTATCTATGTAGTAGCGCGTATCTGGCGCTATTTTACAAATACCGAACAGCAATAGGATCATTGGTGGCCTAGACGACCTGGAGCGCAAAAAAATGGTCGAGCAAAAATATCAAACTGCTTAAAGAATTACTCATTACGCTAATAACATAAACAATCGACCATAACAAGAGTGACTCTATTTATGACGATATATTCACGCACCAGCCATATCCGCTTGACACATCGAGGCGATGCTATGGGAAAAACATTTCGTTAATATATTCAATCGATAGTCGCCAGTTCGACGCGTTTCTAGCAGCATCTAGTCAATGGAAGTTGTCACGATGCTGCCTCACAAATGCCTGCGAGGTATTCGCTATCGGCAGCTGGCATACTGCCCTCGCTTTCTCTTCTGCCGATTCCCGCGAAGGAGTACACACCGTAAGCACATCGGGCCGTGCTGTTTTTTTGTTAGCATCCAAGCCATCGTAGTCTTTCGCGTCTCAAGCACACACAGATGAACGAATGCACACATCAACGAGCACATCCTTGCCGCTCTCCAGGCGACCATCTCTCTTCAAGGAGGATGCCAGTCTCGATGCAGCAACGAGTGCAGGCTTGTCCCTGCCTTCTTCTATTTTGTTTCTTCGGAGCTTCTAGCTTCGCCTTTGCGTGCTCGGCCTGCAATGAAAACCCTTCTCTAGCAACCAAACGTCAGGCATCCATCGAGCGCCTCTTCAGGCGAAGCAAGCTTGATGCTTCATTTCCTTTGAAGCATCCCTTGAATGTAAAGGGGTGGAGGCATCGTCGGACGAGGACCGAGAAAGTACGAGATACACGGAGCCTTCTCGTCTGCAGTAACAACACCAGCAGCAGTAGCATCATTGCATTTTTTATCAGGTCGATAGCACGAGGGTGAATGGGCAAACATATGACTGGCAACATCGGCCGTGTGGCGACGGTACAGGCCAGGCCAGTGGTCCTGTGTTAAAATCCTAGGGACCTATACTTAGATAGGTAGATCGCGCCTGATCGCCCGCTGCAAGGGCCAACGGTGCCCGCCTACTCCAGCTCTGAGCCAGCCGGACTTGGCTTGATCACACCCGCTGATTGTCATTATCTAGGCTCTGTCCTGTTGTCTATGGGCTTTGCATCAAGCGATTTGATATCGTCGCGACTATCAAGATCGTGTCGATCAAACTTGTAAGTTTCGAACTAGTCTTGTTTTGCTTCAAGCGTTTCTTTAATATACAGCACGGTTTCATGGTGTAGGTTCAAATTATGCTGGAGGCCGAATGAGTTAGCCGAATCCTTTTGCACTGAGTCGTTTGATGAAGTATTGTAAATCTGTATCAGTCACATGGGATGGCCAAGGGTTATTCAGTCAAGAAAAGTCAAAGAAGGGGCGGTAACGTTCTGACAGAAGAGCGATGATGAACAAGCCACGGCTATCTATAGGGGTATACTTTAAGCTGAATTGCAGACGGCACTGACTTATAATCCATTTATATGATACACGGTAGTAATGATGTGTCCTGGTCGTATAAAGAATTTCGATGTTTCTGCGTACGATGAACTTCAGTCAAAGATGGCATCAGCTCTTTTGAGAACATAAAGTTAAGCAGTTACGATGTGCAATCTGCACAACGAGATCCGTCCGTGCTTTTCCGGATTTTTCTACCTTAAAAAGCGGCGTCTTAAAATGATGAATGTTTTTTTCGCATTCAGGCTTCAACCTGTAGCTTCGCGGACGCTCCATGCAGAAGCGCACGTTTACTTATCCGGTAGATAGATTAGCAACAATTAAGCATATTGTGTCTACGATTCTAATTCTATTCCTGTTTTTGATGTTCTCGCTCTGTTTCTTCTAGATTTTCGGCTCCAAGGCTGACTTGCAGCTCCACACCCAGAGCCACATGCGGGAAACCAAGCCGTACAAGTGTTCGCAGTGTTCGAAGTCGTTCGCCAACTCGTCGTACCTGTCTCAACACACGAGAATTCATCTGGGCATCAAGCCCTATCGATGCGAGATCTGCCAACGCGGATTCACTCAACTTAGTCACCTTCAGCAGCACATACGCACCCACACGGGTGATAAGCCGTATAAATGTCGCCATCCCGGCTGTAACAAGGCGTTCTCGCAGCTCAGCTCGCTGCAAAGCCACAGCCGATGTCATCAAACCGATAAGCCGTACAAGTGCAACTCATGTTATAAATGCTTCGCCGACGAAGCCTCGCTACTCGACCACATCCCGAAGCACAAGGAGAGCAAGCACCTGAAGACGCACATCTGTCAATACTGCGGCAAGAGCTACACCCAGGAGACGTACCTCGCCAAACATATGCAGAAACACGCCGACCGCTTAGATGCCAAGCAACGCAGTACGATCGCCTCGACTTTGCAGGGTCTTAGCGGTTCGGCCCTCAGCGGAACCGGCGCATCGCCGCGTCCCGACGCCAACAATCCGCTCTACTGGACGCATACCCCATCGAAAACGCCAACGCCACCCCAACCTTCGCATCTTGATCACCTCAATCCCTGCCATCTAGACCTACAGGTTCAAGTGAGTAATGATAAGTAAAACGTTTACAGTATTTTGGCTCATACGATCGGCAAATCGACATTCGGTGGATCGTACAGACGTCACTATTGTTTTGTTTTCTTAATATTTTTAACCATATACCGTTGCAAAGAGGTGCTTTCAGGCTGCAAGGTCAACCGGTAATACTAAATTTAAATTAAAAAATAAATCAAAAATAATCTCAAGAGATTTTCCGGAACCTCGGGCGCAAATAACTGAAACGCATTGTGGAAGACCGTATCTGTACACGTTGCCCTGATGTGCATCGTGCACTGAGGGTCTTCCGCTATGGAACAAACTCAGTTGCCTATTGTTGGATTAAGTCAAAGATCGGATTACTTCAGGTTCAAGCTCAATATTTCCTGATCAATTCGAATCAAGGTTCGAAGCCGGGCATAGACACACGGTTCGTTTTGTGCTGGCAGGAGCCAATCGTCTGATGAATGCCTCACGGCGATGCCGGACGTGAAAGTCAAAACATAGAACTCTTGTCAGTTTAAACAAAATTATCCATCGAATTTCTTCGAATCATTTACTTATAAGCGGAATACGTGGAATATTGCTTAGGTTATCTGGTCACCGTTCTGGTAACCACGCATCTTAGGGATATGGATGGTGTGTAGCGTACTAACGATCACTTTTTTTTCCTTCTTTTCTTCCTGATCTTATATTGTACACGCTTACAGAGTCAGCAGTCACATCTTGATCAGTTGAATACATCCTACGATGGGAAAAGCTCGTCAGTATCGGCTTTCACGCCGATCCAGGGCATCCAGGGCATGCTTCCCGGTGGTCAGATGGGCCACGCGGTACATCCGTTAAGTCAGAGTCAAATTCAGGCTGGACCTCGAGCGCCCTACTTTCCCTACGAGCCCTTCCCCAGCGGCGTAGCGATGAAGACCGAGAAGCCTTCGGCGAGCTCGTCATTTCCTAGCAACCTCATCTCACTTCACCAGATCCGAAATTTCCAGGCGTCCATGCCGAACGCCATGCTGACCCAGGAGAGAGATTCCAAGGGGCAGAACAATCAGCAGCAATAGAGTCTGCCGCCCTGGCAGCTGCACGTCGCGTCAGGGCATCTCGACCATTAGGCAATACCACACTCTACAGAATCACATGTGTTTGTACGTTTGTACAGGTTCAGGTTGACAGTAACAGCAATAACAACAACAATTGCACACATAACAACCATGACAAAAACAACTACACAGTGGAGAAAAGCCGTTGGTCGGCCCGACATTCGCAGGCCAGGGACCTCGTCATCTTTTGCAGACGTCAAGAAGAGATGTTCTCGTCAGAACGAGAACAGCAACGTCAACCAGCTTGAATAGAAAATGGAGTGGAACCGTAAGAACGTGTACGTACAGAAGACTTTCTAAAAAGTGAAAACTTGAAAAAAATACGAGTCTAGCCACAGCTAATTCACTTTCCATTGAACCTTGACTACTTTGTAATGGCTTCAGTATCCACCCAGTATTAGTGAACCGACAGAGTAAGCAATTGGCGCACACTCCTTGTTATAGTCTCGAACAAGTAATCAGTAACAGCTACAGAAACGGAGTTATCGGTTGTTCTGAGCACAAGATAAATGAATACCGCGGCGTCTAATGATGATCGACAATTTCGAGATATGCGCGCGCAACGTTCTTCTCATACGGTAATTCATTAACTTATTTGCTTATTTCAAAGTGTCCTCCAAAAATAAACGGGGTGAAAATAGCGGAAATGTTGAATCTATTACGTACGAGACCAAAATACGCATGGCTACCTACGTGGCTTAGATTGAAGGCCAGCCAAATCAATTCTCATGCGCGTGACCCTTGGAAAATGCTGGTCCATGATGAACCGAACACAGGGCCATAATCAATAGAGTTGTGGGGTTTGTAATTAGCTACAATTGAATTACTGTAGATTTATTTGCGATTGTATGTCTCGGCTCGCGTTCTCAAGGCCTACTATCGCTCAGTCCCATCGTGATGTTCCTCTTGATGAAGACACCCCTCGACATGTAGCGCCCTCTAGTGGTAACGCCATATATGATAGCTTGTTTAGTATATGCAGTGGTTGTCATTCGGTTCTTATGCATTTGGACCCGCACTGCGACTGGGAGGTCTCTAGTCCTACCCGGTAAACGATTATTTATAATGTTCGATACGCTTCCGGGAGCCCCCAACCAAAGTCTAGCTCGTAATTGATGTATACTAATGGATATAATCTATTATTATAATTAAAAATGGATATACAGAACCTTCGCTATCAACTATCAATACGGGTGCGGTGTACATAGGAGACCGTCGTTTAACTCAACTGATCACAGAGATAAACGAAGGCGTTTTTTTTTGAAATTTTTGTTATTATTTTTATTTCTATTTTACTGTTTAAGTCTATCATTCATGTTTATTCACTTATTTTAATTGTTTTTCTCCGATTTCAACCCTCTTTTAGGTGATAATTGCACAAGGGAACAATTCCTAGTATGTACAAACATTTCATTTTTTAGCAGCGAATCGGCCACATCTGATTGCCGATTGCTAAAGGACACAATTTTCTGTCTGCCCAACTCTCGTCATCGGTGACGGGAATTTTATCTTGGTAATCGTGATTAATTAAAAAGTCTCGATTATTGACTCAATTGATTCATAGTTACCATTTTGGCGTATCTGTGTATGTCCGTGTATTTATTAAACGTGCTTATTGGGTGTGTAAAATGTGTGATACAATATTATTATTGGTAATATCCAATGTTTGATCCCATACAGTATGTACTCCGGTGAGGCAGAGTTACTCGGCTACTTACAAAGCCTTTTAGGTTTTCGTTTTTCTGATCTAGTTAAAAAATAAGTTAATGCTCACTATATTCAACGAATACGCGCTAATTTATTTCATTGTTTGTGTATTTATCTTCTAACTTAAGTGTTTTGCGGTAACGTAATGATGAAGATGCAGATACAAATGTACTTCTAAGAGAAGATTTTTAAAATAAGTATAAATAGTATTGACCAAACGTTATTTATGAGGATCACAAATCTACTATATATATATATATATATATATATATATATATATATATATACTCAAACCCAGATGCTGACTATAGAGATGTGCTAAATGTGAAACGTGTGTTAAATCTATCTCATTAAGTCAGTTTCAAAAACAAAATATCCAAGGCTGCGTCCCTCCATGTATACTTTTCTTCAG